TAATTGGAGTGCAAGGTGAAATGCCATTCTTTTACTTTTAGCAGATGTATTTAAACTTTGTATCAGACTCTGTTTTAATGTCTGCGTAAATGAAACAAATACAAAATCAAAAGTATATTAAAGCTCTTCAATCCCATCTTCGCAATATTGCTCTCAGGAATGTTATTAATTCCAAGCTATAGCTTCAGCTATAACTCTGATTAATGTCTTACTTCTGAACTTGGACATTCTTTCGTAATAAAAAATTAATCAGGACAAATCATTTCGTTTATTTTTCCAACAGTAGAAAATACCATTAATCCATAAAATGATGAACAGATTTTTGATGTGCACAATGTCCTCAATTGTTTGCTACTTTTTGTGCTATTGAGAAGTAACATGCTACAATTCTAATCTTCCTGAAACTTTATTTTGTTTTCAGTCATCATCATATATGACAAATGACATATAAAACACATTGACTTGATAATAACAATGGAGAATTTGATGCCACCAGTTATTAGGCATTTTGATAAGAAGATGCCTTTGATCTGGGAGGGTGTGGGAGAAAGCCACAGCTCATACACTGCCCCTCCCAGCGAGGAATGGAGCATAACTCCAAGCCCTATTCCCAGCCCTAGGCTTACACAGACATGACAGCTCTGTGTACAGGCTGAGGGCTTCCACAGCCATGACAGCTCTGTGTACAGGCTGAGGGTTCTGCTCCTTTCCCTCCTGAGTGTTTTCCCCTCCATCTGCCATACTGCTCCATTTAACTGGTTAACTAATGAAACGGGATTTTGCATCCCAGTTATCAGCTAGCTTTCTGTGGGCTACCAGTAGTTCATGGATTGCTCTTAGAGAACATTTAGTATAGAGAGCAGAATAAACATTGAACTACCCTCACTGATATTTCTTAGACCTTTCTCAGCCTCTCATTACAAATACTGTGTTGGGAGAGGAAGCTTCACATTACATTCATGACTACTTTTCTTTTGCTTAGTATTGAAATGTGGCACATAAATTGTAACGATAGCAGACTTATATTTAATCAAAACAAAGATCCCACGAGGCCTGTCACTCTTTGAAGACTGTAGATGTAGGTATTCTGGAAAATGCCACTGCTTTGGTGTTAACACAAGAATAGTAGATTGCATGGCAACTCTTTTTCAGAAACATGCATGTAAAAAATTACTCTCTTGTATGCAAAATAGGTTAATTTTAGAAGCTTCATTGAGATAGTAAGAGTTTGTGCATTTAAATGTAACTTTAATTTAAATGCTGAAACATGGAAGTGCCTTCTTTCCCCTTAAATAGTCTCCAATCATATCAGGCAGTGTACTTGGGGATCTCTTGATTGTGGTCAACATTTCTGATTGATTAAGCCAGCAGCATTTTTATCATAAGGCTGTTCATAATGTGTTATGAATTGTTCCAACCCATGCTTTCAACTTTATTTTGAAAGTATTATTCTTTTATCAAGAATATATTCATCAGTGTAGAAGATTTAATATTCCATTTCTATTTTCCTTTTATGCAGGAGCTGTGGGCATTGAGAATCTAGAGTGAGTATTTCAGTATTGAAGCCACATATCTGCATGCAGACTTGATTCTGCAAAATGCTAAGTGCCCTCAGTTCCTGCTAACTTTAGAAGAAGGTGGTGGTATTCAAATGGATTTTAATATAGCTATGGACAATATAGTTATCTGGTAAATATATTATCATGGAAAATTATTAGTCTGAGGAAGGAATGTGCAGCATGGAAAGACATTTTAAATTTGGCTCATTTTCTGTAGTCGTAGTGTGGTCTAGTGGGCTTGAACATAGGGTTATAGAAGCAAGCAACCCGAGAGTTCTAGTCCTGGCTTAGCCACTGACTCACTATCCTGGGCAAGTTATTTAACTTCTTTTCCTCTGTTTCAGTATCTGTAATATGGGAAACCTTCCCCACATTGTTGTTAGCTAACATCAGTACTGTACCTTAGAAATTTAAATAATTAGATGTGTATTTACTAAGCATTATTAAATTGCTCCTATGGAGAATCTTAGAGGAGACAGTGTCTCAGGATTGGCATGTAGTGCACATTATATCTTGGCAGTACTACTGGGGATATGTTACATTTGGCAGAACTGGCATAGTTCTTCTGTATTTCAAGGGTGCTGTGCAATGGTGTGAAGGAAATATGGGAACAGAAGAGGGAAATTTAAAATAACCAGAAAATAGAGACTTTGAAATGGCCTTGAGGAGTGGCCTAATGGTAAAGCATGTGAGTTCAAGCCTAAGCTACAGTTATGTATTTTCTGAGAAAAGCGAATCTATGTACTTCATCTCTAGAAACCACCTTTGGCAAAGACAAGGAACAGCACTGAGAGGTTTTTTCAAGAATAGTCTCTTGTCCTCTTTCTACGAGGATGATTGCCTAAAAGAGGTACCTTAGAGGAGACAAGTGAAGCAAGGGATAAAATCGGGTGGGGAAGACTCCAAGACCCACATGGCCAAATGAGAGGGGAGGGTTGCCAGGTGTCTGGTATTGACCCGGACAGTCTGGTATTTTCGCCTCCTGTCTGGTTTAAAAAAAAAAAAAACAAAAAAAACAGAAAATACTGGACACCTGGCAACCCTACAACACACTCAGCCCCTGGCTCCCCTGTCAGTCTCGCCGCCCTCCCATCCCCACTTACCTGGTTCTGCAGGGGCTTGTCTTGTGGCTAGAACAGAAAAACAAGATGGCTGCCAGCAAAAAAAGCCACCTCTTAAAGGGGCCATTTTGATTTTTGATTTTTTTGTTTAATAACTGCTGTCAGGGTCTCCCCCTTTTTTTTCCTCAACAGAATTATTTTCCCAGTGGATTTTTTGGGGGGGCAGGGAGTGTTCCGTATTTTTGGTTAAACCATCTGGCAACCCTATGAGAGTGAAAAGGGGGAGAGATGCTGACATATAAGAGATGTAAAGAAAAGAGGTAAAAACAATGGACCAAACTCTGCCCTCATTTTCATCCTGTTTAGCCTCACTTACATAAGGGTTACATGAAATTGAGAACTGGGCAGAATTTGGGTCATGATGAGCAGAGGGGTTGAGGAGAAGACACAAATTTACTTTTGTTGTTGTTTCCTCCTGTCCTTTCTGCAAAAAATCAGTTTGTGCACTTGAAAGTTCTTCGGTTGCAAAATCAATAACATGTAACGGTAACTGATTAAACTGGAAGATAAAAGAAACTTTTAAAATAAAATGCTGCTTTCATTTGAAAGCGCAAGAACTGGGGGCAGTGGACAAGAATGAAATTAAACCTTGGGGAAAACTGCTCAGACAGCTAGAAGAAAAATTGGCTAGTGCTTGTATAGTGAAGGTGTTTTAAAGTATATTTTGTTCAAGGTTGGCTTTAATTAGGAATGTTGGCATCTTTTACTTGGGTTTAGAATACAAGGCAGATGTGTTTTTAAGACACCCTGAAACTATTAAACAAATAACATCTTTACAAAAATCCCAGTGGAAGTAGAATATAAATCGCTGTAGAAGAAAATCTGACTGCACCCTGGTGCTCAAAGATGCTGGAATTGAAGGGTGATTATTGAACCTCCAGCTGCTGTCTATATTAGATTCTTAACTTTTCCCTCCGAAATTCTCTAAAATAAACATGTTTCTGTCAATATAATTTATTTTTCTATTAGAGACAAAAAGAGTAGATTGTCCAGTAGTCAATGTAAACTATAAATTCTATGTTGGATTTAATCTTGTATATCTGACACATTGCTTTTCAAATGTAAAATATGGTTTTATATAAGATTGATGCATTGATAGGGAACAAGAAGAACTAAAGAGATCAGAGAACACTGATGTTTTTAGTCTCAATTTTTTGTATTATCTGGTGATTTGAGAAGTTATATTTTCTGTTGGTTTAGTGTCTGTTTTTTTCTGCAGTACCAGACAGACTTCACTGTTCACTTGTGTGATCCAAATGTTGTAAAATGGCATGATTAAAAATTTATATTTGTATGTATAAAGTATTCCTACAGATGAAAATACTTAATTGTTTGTAAGGTTTAGTTTTATATAAGTGGTAATGTCAAACAGAACTTAATTTAAATCTTCTGGTGCAAGTTATCCTGTAACAGTGTTTCTTGCATCTTCCTCCGAAACAGTTGTTAGGGCCAGTGATACTGAAGGAGATGGGTATGGCCCAACACCTCAATTCCTTTTCCCCCAAATTATTTTTAGGGTATGTCTATGCAGCAGAGCAAAAGTCAGATTAAGCTACGCAACTTCAGCTACACCAGAACACTCTTCCTTCGACTTCCTTTACTCCTAGTAAAATGAGGGTTACAGGAGTCAGAGTAAGAAGTCCTCCAGCTCAAAATTATTTCAAAATAATGGTTTATTGTGTAGAAGCGCTCTGTGTGATGAAACTAGCAAAAATTTTGTGAAGCCGAACCTTAGATTAGGCATTCAGGAATCTATATATAGTAACTTTGCGCTAAGAAATTGCTCTATGGCCACTTTAAAATGTATTTTAGAATGTTGAGTCAAAACTGATCATACGTTGTTCCAAACTTGGATAAATTAATCTTTACATTTGTGCGGTGATGTTTTCCAAAGCCTTCTATTGAATGAACAAGATGTGTGGATTTGAATCTTTAACAAAGAAAACCTTTTCTCTCGAGTTTGTCATGCTTTTGAGATAAATTTGAATGTCCCCTCTCAGTTGAGTTCAGTATCTTCTGGATGGCTTAATCTGAAGATTTTCTAGTAGTCCATGTAGTTATCAACCAAAAATAGGGATAGACAAGATCTGATTTTTAAAAAGAGAAAGAATTATGATTAATCTGGTGTTATGGCATAGTTGTTGTATTTGGGAAAAAACAATCATTATAAATATTAAAAGGGGGCAGAGTGTACAAATACTACTTTTCTTTGCAATTCACCTGTAATTAAAGTTGGTCTATATTGTTGATTCATTGAATAAATTCAGTAGTGGTATGTGTATTCTGAAATTTTAATAATTATACTTTTTCTGTATTGAAGGCTACAGATAGAAGAATCTTCTAAACCTGTAAGATTATCACAACAATTGGACAAAGCTGTAACAACCAATTATAAACCTGTGGCTAATCATCAGTATAATGTAAGTTACTTTAGTCCTTTTCCTTGCTAATCTTAATCATCACGTGTGTCAGGAACATAGTTGTTCTAAGGAATGACTCCCCTCTAGATCCAGCCTTCTGTGCCCTTTTTTCACATAGGAAGTCTTGCCTTCGATAATCCCTTTTTTCAATGGAATAAAGATTCTGCCTGTTTCCTGGTTTACTACCTTCTCCCTGGAGAACACTGCCAAAACAGTGGCTAAAATAGGCTTATTCTAATACCCCTTTGTTGCATAACAGAGTTTTCCTTTCTGTTTTTCTTTGCCCTACCTCTTTCTAGCGTATTTATTAGCTCTTTTCTTTAACCATGTCTGAAATTCAATTTGAAGGCCTTAAGGGCAGAGACATTGTACCATGAGATTGTGTGTTCCATTTTTGGGTCATGCATAATAACAACAATGTATTCTGCAGATGTGAAGGACTAAGGAAGTATCTTTAACTTCTAATCCTTTGCAGCGTGTTTCCTGAACGATGGGAAACAACTGATAAATGTTTGCACCATTATTCCTTCATAGTATGTATTCTCTGTATCAATTATTCTAATATTATATCCACATTGCAGGTCAATGTAATTTGGTATGAATGCCTTCCTTATTAAACGATCCTTTTTGTGTAATTTGTATGTATGCATATATAATAAGCAACTTACGTGTTGAATGCAAGGAACGTTGTCACATTAAGAATTAGTCATTGTATGAGTCACTTGCTCTTTAGTCGTTCTGGTTAAGATTTTATTTACATAAAACAAATGACAATATATATGGTATACAGCCGTCGTTGTAGAATACAAACCTGGTCTGGACTTAAAATTTAGATTGATGTAGTTGATGGCTGGGCATACTTTTTGGCCTGAGAGCCACGTTGGGTATGGAAGTTGTATGGAGGTCCAGGAAGGGAAGACAAATAGCCAGGCGTTGCCCACAGCCAGGCTCCCCCACAAACTACCCTGCTCTCACCCTCTGACCATCTCCCTAGGGACACCCTGTCCCTTATCCAACTGCCCCACTCCCTGCCCCCCTGGGACTCCTCTCCCCATATCCAATCCTTCTGCTTCCCACACCCTGATTTTGCTGCCCGAGACACCAAAACTGACGATGCTGATGTTGCCACACCTGGAGCATCAGTGCTGACGTTACAGCAACCGTATGACCCAAGCACTGTGGAAACTGAGGCTGCGGGGGAGGGATGCATAAGGAGAGAGATTGGGGACTAGCCACACCTGCTCAATGCACTGCCTGGGATTTGAATTGGCTCTTTCTCGCAAAGCTCCCATTCCCCGGCATGAAGCTGAGGGCTGGACTGAAGGATCTGACTGGCCAGATGTGGCTCATGGACAGTAGTTTGCCCTTCTACAGCTCTGATGTAGCTACATCTCATTCCCCTTTGTGGCATATCTGTTCCAGCCTAATCCCTGGTATTAGATGCAGGTAGATCGACAGAAGAATGCTTCTGTCAACCTAGCTACTGCCACTTGGGGAGGTAAGTTCCCTATGGTGATGGTAACCCCTCTTCTGTCACAATAGACCAACAATGGACAACTCATGAGTGGGCCGCATGAGTGGCTCTCCTTCATCTCAGTGAGCCGCAAGATGGTTATAACCAGTGCAGTCTCCTGGGATAGGGTAATTTTGCTAAATGTGCTTGTGTACCTAGAATTCACTGCATGTAATGATTGATCTGTAACAGTGCTTTGATGGCTCTTTCAGTGTTTTCTGCAATCAGCATGCATCTCTCTTCACATGTCCTTGCTTTATGTACATGTCACTTGAGTAATACCTGTAGGAGAAAATTTAAATGGACAGAAACCAGTGGGATCTAGCAACCCTGTGCATGGGCAATGCTAAACAAAATGTCTTGTGGGCCACACATAGAACCTTAATGGGCCACGTGTGGCCCGCAGGGAGCAGGTTGCCCACCACTGCTGTCGGCTGCATCTACCCTACAGGATTAGTGCAGCACAGCTTTGGTGCAGTAGTTATACCTCTGCAGTCCCTTGTGTCCTGACAGGTCTCCTGCTCTGTCAACGATGATAACCCGAAAGCTGCATGCATGTGTGCTCAATCATATGTGCTGTGTTGACTTGCACAATTAGTCAACACAGCAGATTCCAAGAGAGCCCCAAAGACCACAAATCAGATAAGGATCAAAGGCACTTGGCCAGGTTTATTGTTAAGTGAAGGACAGTAATAGTTGTCAGTAAACTCTACCGAGCCACTATGCATATGTACCCGTAACAATGGACTCTTCTCAGTTCGTGGGAGGTCCCACTGCCCCCTAGGCTGGACAGACACTGCCCCTCCAAGATCACTTTATTTACAGGTACAAACAAGTTACACATCACTCCTGGTGTGTCAAGTTGCCACCTTCTGACGTGATCAGGCTACCATCCTCTGAAGCTACTTAGATATCACCCTGCACCTCTTGGTTCGACTAGAACATCTCTATCCATCATGATGTCTTTCCTGAACCTGGGCCAGTATCGGGGGGGGGGGGGGGGGGGGAAGGGGAATACCAAGGTCTTTTTTAATGAGCTCGTGGTACTATCCTTTTGAAATATGCTTTCAATTTAGGACTACTACCAATTACTGTTTTACACCTGAGCCTATTACCAATTTGTGTTTTGAACACACAGCCTTGTTTATGCCAAGTTCTGTGAGCAGGGGTCTGCTTCTTGCTCACAGCTTAGCTTTGCTTTATATTAGTCAAGTTTTGTCTATTGTTAGCTAGGCCTCAAACCAGGCCTGTCCTGCATGGACTTTTGTTTCAGGCCCTCATCTGACTACTTCCCCGTAGTGTAGACAAGCCATTACTTATTATAACAGCACAAAATAATCATAATAATTCTTTTCTCAGAGTACACTTTTATAGTAGATATTCTCTAAGGACTGTTCCTATATACAGATTTCATACCAATATTCCAGTTAGGAGTGTGGCTTTTTACCAATATAGTTATACTGGTAAACTCTTTAGTGTAGATGCAGTTATGTCAACATGCCTTATACAGGTATAAGTTATTCCTCTTCTAGTACTGCAATAAGCTACACCAGTACAGATAGATCCATATTAGGGGATTATACTACTTTGATTGTACCACTGTAGTTAAAGCAGTACAATTCCTTTGTGCAGACAAGTCCTAAAGTTTTAGCCTCGTTATAGACTACACTCATGATGCTATTGATATTACAACTTTTAACAGTCTTGTTACACAGTTGTCTCCCCAGCCTTTTATTAGATGTCCTAAGGTATGTCTGCACAGCAGACAAAAACATATGGCTGGCTGTGCCAATTGACTTGGGCTCACAGGGCTCGTGAGCAAACTGTGGGGCTGTTTCACTGCTATATAGACTTCCATGCTTCAGTTACAGCCTAAGCTCGAAGACTCTCCCACCTCACAGGGTTCTAGAGCCCAGACTCCAGCCCAAACCCAGATATCTGTACAACAGTGAAGTAGCACCATAGGTTGGGTCCCGTGAGCCTGAGTTGACTGCCCCATGTCTAGCTGCTGTATAGGCATGTGCTTAATGAGAATGTGGTTGTAATATAGGAATAGCCAAAGTGTAATGTTAACAACAGTTTGCACAGCTTGTCATGTTGATATAAACATCCAATATGGTTGGTTAGTTGTGGAGATTTTGATGGAAAAAGCCTATTAAAATAAATCACTTGCATCATCTCCTTCCCTCCGCTCCCGAAAATGCTAATGCAGAATGGTTTTCTACAGTAACTTCTCCAGATCTTTGAATCTAGGGTCAGATGTCTCAAATGGTGAGTCTTCTCCCATAAAAATCATTCCACAGTCTTTTTCACATTAAAATTACTTTAAGCTCATCTCAATGTTCTCAGCTTTACCACACTGCTCTAATAAGGGCAATAGTTAAGCAGAGGATAGGAAAGAAAAAAAAATGAACTAATATGGAAAGGGGGAAGAAGGCCATCATCTGCCATGAAAGAGAGAAACTTTCCAGAAGGGCTCTTGTGCCCGTCTCCACCCCTGTTTGACGGCAGGGCCGAGACTGCACCAGCCCCAGTCTCTCAGCTCCCCACCTCAGCTGCCTGGGAAGGCCAGAGCCGAGGTTGTGCCAGCCCCAGTCTGAGAGGAGTAGAATAGGAAGAATGCAGAATTGAGACCTTTCAAAGTTTTGGCCCAAGCGAAGGGGCATGAGAGCGTCATTTGAGCTCCCCGCCTCAGGTGCCAAAATGTTGTGGGCTGGCCGTGTGTGATTAGCAGTACCACATTCTTCCCTCTCCTGTCAGTTCCTTTCCTTTAGTAGCTTCTCTCCCCTCTCTCAAATCAGCTGCAGGCCCACCCTATTACTAGTCTCTCTTCTTCAGTTCCTGTTTGATGCTGCTACCTGCCTTGGGACTGCTTGTTCTGTTCTTTCTTGGCATGGACCTTGCTTACCCAGGGTGACCATGTAACCTTCTTAGTCTCTCCGCACAAAGCCTACCACTTCCATTTCTCTGCCTATGCCATCCACATAACTCCTCCAGCTTGACTCAACCTAATTCATTTTGGCTATATTTACACTGAGGATGTCTGAAACTCTCCCACCTGTGGTGTAGTATTGGTGCAACTCCATTGTGCTAATGGTAAGAATGCTAAATATAGGCTGATCACATAGATTTTTACCACCATGCTTGCAGCATGATTAGACTACATGATTGAAACACCAGAATTTTAATGTACTATGTCTAACACTGATGCTTCGATTGTTGCTGAAGAAGTAGAACAGTTTTCAGAAAAAGTTTAAGGTATAGACATGACCTTACTTCAATATGCAGCTCAGAATCTCTTCAGCAAATGCACATTTGATTGAACTTCAGAATATCAGGAAGATTAAAAAAATGTTCAGTTGGACTGTGAATTTCATTGTTAAACTAATTGCTTTTATTTATTCACTAGAGTAGCTTTTTTGCAGGCTGAAATGATAATTGTAGGGGTGTTTCACTGACTACAGAATAGTTCTTTATTTTTAAAAAA